AAAAACAAATAGTTCGTTAAAACTTGTCAATATGTGGTCAGGCTATAATTTGGGTATATATTTGAAATTTTGATCGCAGTCTAAAGGAGAAAAAATGATTAAGTAACTAGAAGTAATTAGGAAAAAAAGATAGCTATTAATCTATCTTGGATTCGTTTCGCAGCGGAAGATGACGAATTAGAGTTATCAAGAAGTCTGTCTGCCCCACTTTCGGTTGCAAAGTTTTAATGTTCGTTCGTTTGCTGCTCTCCCAAACGAATATTATGCAGCAAACCCGGGATCGTACAAAAGAACCCTTTGTTGCGAAAGACATCGCCAAGTTCCTTTGAGGACGCCGAAAAGTCTTTCGATGGGATTCCTAGCCTTGCATAGCGCTTCATTATAGCGAAATTTAGGAGACCCCTCCGGTTGGTTTGGTAACGGCGTCATAAGCCACGGCTCTAGGGGGTATCCAGAATCACCTGGAAAAATTTTTTTAGAGTTACACTTTAACATTTATTAAGCGTTACCTATTAAAAACAAGTTGTGGTTCCCATTCTCGTACGAACGCTGCATCACTCTCCGCACTGCAGAGGAGCTCCAAATGTAGGAGTCATGTCATGCTCCCAGATGTTTCGCATTCACGTTTAAAATTTTCAAGTTCGGGTCGCATATCTGTAAATATACATATGTAGCAGTGGTAATTATGCAATAATCTTCTTTCATAACAATTTGCTTACCATTCATACATTTAATGAGTGGTATCCATGATGGTTGACGTACGCCTCCTCATTATTTTTTCGGAGCCAAAATAGAAATATGGGTACAATCGATCGCCCCAATAGTTCCCCCCACAAAAGGCGCAGCTGCTGAGGAAAATACTTCTTTGGCAGCTTGGCGTTCCATTTGCGTCATAGGAAACTTGACTTCCGTTAAAAACAAGTGGTTGTTAATTGCCTCTGTCACACGATGAGTACAACGGCTTATGGATGACTGGCTCATCGAAATGCCCCACCGCTCTCCTACAGGGCGTTGATAGCACCAAGTGGCATAAAAGCGCAAAGTAGACAGAACCTTCGAAAATACAAGAGAAGTTATAAAAAGTACACTAAGCTTAAAGATCTAGTGCCTCACCTGCTTTTCGGCGGATATGGCAGTTACTCTCGAGCCTTTTATATACACTTCCAACCGTTGAACCAGATCGGCTGCCAAGTTGGGTCCTAGCCGGTATAATTTCCGGAACTCTGTTGGTGGCAATTCAAACGGATTGTCCGCACTCCGCAATATACGCCGATCCACCCTCAATGCGTTAAACTGCTGCTGACTACGCGACAAACTATAAGCGAGGTACTCAAATGACATTTTTTCACTTAATTTTTTATTTTAGCGCTTTCGAATTATTTATGTTTTTTTGTAACAACACCAAACTAGACGTTGTCAAATTAGCGGCCGTTGTTATCGCTGATTTGCGCTGATTTTGCGCTAACGAATGTTGTTAAGGAAACGTTTAATGAATAGCTATATTGATAAAATTGTCGTTTAATTGCTTTAACAATAAAAAGAGTTGTTAAAATAGCGTAGTGAATCGCACTACAGATTTTCTTTTGCGCGCAAACTTAGTGGCGTTTGAATTTTTTAGTATGGTAGAAAATTTACCTATTTTCTATTGGGTTACACAGGTCTGCGAAATCTAATTTTCCCCTTTCTAATAATTATGTTATTTTTTTAAATATCTAGGTATGATGTTAAATTAAAGTACATCTTTGGTTCTCCTCCAGCCCTCCGAGATTTATTTTTATTGATAACATGTACTTAGATGTTAGAATTTTAGGAATTTGCATGAAAAGCCAAAAATTAATTAATTTAGAATAAAATTTGTACTTACAAACCAATAGTTAGTAATAATACTCATAATGAGACTAAGTTAATCAGAAGGACTTATGTAATTTCGAAGTTAACGCTAGTAATGCGCGGTAGCTAAGAAAAAATTATAAAAGTTATTTTCTTGAAAAATTTTCGTGATGCAATTTTTTATTATCTTTTTAATAGCGTAGTACCTATACGTACCTAAATAGCTAATTAGTTTTTTAAGAGGAAAACCACACAAGTCCTGTGTTATTTTTAACCGACTTCACAAAAAGGAGGAGGATCGTCGAAATATTTCTTTTTTTTTATGTACGTTACCGCATAACTTTGCACCACGTTAACCGATTTCGATAACTCTTTTTTATCGGATACCACCTATCTCAAGGGTGGTCCCATATTAATTTTCTTTAGATCCGATAATTGGATCATGAAGAAATTAACGATAATCTTAAATTTTTATATGAGAATTGAAGTCGGTTTTGTTTTTGAAGTCGGTTTTGTTTGTCATGCAAATTATTGTTGCTTTTCCACAATAAATTTTCATTATAAAACGGCCTCGAGCTCAATAAAAATTGTTGAATATAATTGTTATAAGGCCAAATAATAACAAAAACAAAGAAAATTATTAAAAATAAATAAACACATAAGTGGAAAACATAATTTTGAAGTTTGCTGCTATTATTTCACTCGCAGATATAAATAAAAAGTTCACGAAAACCATTTAACATGAAAAATTTTGTTAATATTTTAAAAGAAATCACTGGATGCACATTTTGTACATTTGGATTTAATTTTAATTTGCATATATTTTCAAGACTGATTTTAATGCTAGTTTTATTATTATTAATAAAGAAATATGTAAATATGTACCTATATACAGTCACTCACAGAAGTATTCGTAATTTATTTTTTTCACAATGTTCCAAATGTTTTCCATCATAAATCTTTTTTCGCTAATTTTCATTTAAAATATAGCTCATTCCATACAAAAAACCATATAAATGATTCTTGCAAACTTTGTACAAAAAATTGATTTTGTTCATGCCATGGAATCAAATGCGCAACACTCTCGACAAAAAAAATTATAAAAAATCAGCGGTAATTTTAAGCTGCTTGAAACTTGCACTTTATCATACTAAAATTTAACGGGCTACAAAACTGCTTACTGAAAATTTTTCTAAAAATTCTGAATAAAAAGTTTGAAATTTTTATGAAATTTTTTTAAATTTGATTCATTTGTATGAATTTTGTACAAAGTTTGCAAGAATCACTTATATGGTTTTTCGTATAGAATGAGCTATATTTTAAATGAAAATTAGCGAAAAAAGATTTATGATGGAAAACATTTGGAATATTGTGAAAAAGCTAAATTACGAATACTTCTGTGGGTGACTGTACATACTTATATGATATTTACATTTTTAATAAACGATGTATACGCATTTCATTGAAAACATTAATTATTCAATTCCTTTAAATTCAAGGTAAATTCATTTCCTGTAAAATAGAAAAAATAGACTTATCACCTTTTAACTTACAGTCTTCTATATTTGTTTTACGCCCTATTGGAAAATTATAATCGGACCACATATTGGCAAGTTTTAACAAACTATTTGTTTTTTT